CCATCTTCATCAAATTGTTCCGTTAACATTTTGGAACAGGTTATTTAAATTCAAAGACTTATTATGACTTCATGAGTGTCTAAATGATTTAGAAACACCCTCAAATTCTTTTAGAATGATTTCTAGTTTACGGTCATGTCGGGTTACGAACATTTAATCGGGTACGACCATAAACCCCGTTTACCGTCGGGATCGGGTAGATTTCCACCAGGCCGCAAACTCAAACCCTATATAAGGGTGATTGGACCTCCATTTGAAGCTTTTCCACACACACACACATACACACTCTCTCTCTCTCTACTCTCTCTCTCTCTCTACAACTCAAATTTTGATCCAAAAACACATATTTCAAGCTCCAAACTTGTAAGTAATCTATCCTAGCTTGTTGTTTAGCTTATTTTGCATGCAAACCCGTGTTTAAATCATCCAAAAGTATCAAAATCATGTGTTTACGGACATAGAACAACCCCAAACCGCAAACACCCATAAGTTGGGTTTTGATGCCGAAAACACTTCTAGTGCTTAGCTATGGCTTAGGGACTTGCATATATGAGCTTAGAACACCAAAATCTTGTCATTTGGGGAGTAAACATGAGTTTACAACCCAAGAACATTCTTGGACCGCAAACACTCATTCATAGACCGTAAACACCTTTTAAGATGTTAAATTGCCCCTTAAACACCTCCTATGGCTTGGGTTAATGTATAGAATCAACCACCATCGAAGAAGGGACCTTAAACATCAAATAAATCAAGAACATAGGAGATTACAGCAGTAAACCCCCCAAGGATTGGTCCCTTGGCCGTAAACTCCCTTAAGGAGGTCAAATGGTCCCCTAACTTCCCCTTATGGCTTGGATTAATGCATTGAACCTTGTATTCATTCATTTGAGACCCTAAATCATGCAAGAAAGGGCCAAGTAATAGTGAGTTCAATGTCTAATTAGATACAATTATCTATCCCCTCATGTTACATAGGATCCTCGCGTGTGTTCAAGCCCTAAACTGTCACTTAGCATCCTACCCGGCACATTCTCAACTGGTTAGTTCATACCCCTACACTTTTCCAAGTTTTTCATGTTTTCAGAGGGGAATACAAGCAAATCATAAAGGTTTTCGAAACTTAAAACTGACGTAATTATACGATTTTCTGACAAACTTTTAAATACTTAATCCCTTTTGTAATATGCGGAGCATAAGGGAGATTTTCATAATATAATTACATAGTTTTCAAACAACGTGGGAACTTATCAAATCGTTCAAATTATTATGGGAATAATTTGGGATCTTCATTACTTGTTTTACGGATTCAGATTTTGTGCAAAGTCAATAATATAAACTATGTCTGATTTAGTTTATCCATGTTTAATCTAGAGTATTATGTTAAATAATTATCTCGAATTTGATTATTTATACTCTACCTTGTACCAAACGATTTCGAAACTCGATAACGATCTATTATCCTGTGAATCAGTTAATACTAGCTTGTGAGACTTGTCTTCGTTATACCCTTCAAGGTAATAGTAAATCCTCTCCGGAGGTATAACTAGAGTCTCCTGGAGGGAGAACATGAAATTTGTGGATAGATCTATTCGGGACTAATAATCCCACACCTAAACTGCTAGCTATAGTTAGGCGGGCATGCCTGGGGTGAAAAACTTTGGAATCGAACAACGCTTGAAGAACGTCAAGGAGGTCACCGGTCAAATCAGTATGGTTATACGACTCACAATACGTATTAAACTAACTAACTTTATTCACGGATTCCTTTATTTCTTCCATGGTTTTATTTATGTAATAAAACTACCAAATTTCGTACTGGAGGGTATTCCAGCGATATTAATCTATGGTTTTATGTATTAAAACTACCTACTTTCGTACTGGAGGGTAATCCAAGGATCATAGCTTATGGTCTTTTTAACTTAATGGTGATTAGTCAGGGTTTTTCTTATCTTATGGAAATCGACTTACATGTTAGAAAATATGGGATTTTATGGGAAAACATGCATATGTATTTCATAACTCAATAACTATGGTTTTCGATATTACAATAATCTTTATCAAAGGAAATGAAGTATTTATCACAAGATTAAATAACCGGTTCTCCTTACAAACATTCTTATGAACTCACCAACTGTATGCTGATACTTTTAAAACTACTTGTATTCTCAGGTTCTCGTTAGACATGTATCTCGCCTTCTTTTGGAGAAGACGAAGCATGTAGAAGTCTCGTCTTTACTTTTTTTATACTGATGTATATATAAACATGTATTACTTCGCTTTCAAACAAATGTAAATATTTCTATGTAATGAAATGTATGTGTTTACTATGCTTGCTATGTACATTGGTTGTGATACTTCGCATGACGTCCTCCGCCCCAGAACGTTTCCGCCTTCGGTTTTGGGGTGTGACAGATTGGTATCAGAGCCCTTGTTTATAATGAACTAAGTATACCAAACCTTACATGGTATAAGACTATAAACACTAAGGTGCCGAATCACTCTAAACTAAAAGTATACTTTAAAAATATAAGTATTTTTACTTCAAGTATACAAGAATATCTAAACGCCAGAATCCGTAAACCCGAGTAGAACAAAACATATGTAATTGGGTGTTGTACACTGCGGTTAAACCTGGGCAGTTATGTAGTCGTGTCTAGGGTCAATATAGCCTGATCAACTATATTCATTCGAGACACGGCCAACATGTGCTTGGGAGTGACTGTGGTGTGCGGCAGACCTAAAACTTACCAAATATCCAAACAATGAGTCATCGTCACAGCGAAACATAAAATACTACGGGAGTATTTTCTAGAGTCAACTTCGTTATAGAAAACCTCATTCAAGTGTTGCTACTCCTTTCCATTAGCGATAAAATTCCCTTGCTTTGGTAGCTTTCCTATATAATATCTCATAGTAGAACACTTTACCTGTCATAATGAGATATCTCTTGTTCCATATCTCTTGATTCACTTCAGAGGACTTACCATCCTCTCTTTCGTGATCATTTTAGATCAAGATGCCTCCAAGAAGAAGACCCAACTCAAGGAACAACAATCCTCCTCCACCACCTTCTCCATTTGATCCCACCATGTTCCAAGCAGAGGTTACTGCTGCTGTGGTTGTTGCCATGTCACAAATGAACTCCGGTGGTTCCGGTGGGCCAGGAGGTGGCACTCAGCCCCAAAACCAGGAAGGTAGTCATGGACACCGGAAGGTGTGTTCCCACAAAGATTTTATGAACGCGAAACCAACACCCTTCAATGGAACTGGAGGTGTTATTGCTTTGACTCGATGGATCGAGAAAATCGAGTCTATCTTCAAAATCTGTGCCTCTTCAGAAACTGACAAGGTGAAGTTCGCCGCTTGCACTTTCACCAATAAAGCCCTGACTTGGTGGAACGGCCGAGTCAAATCCTTAACCCTGCCTGTAGCCAATGATATGGGTTGGGAGAGCATGAAATAGCTTCTACTTGCTGAATACTGCCCACGGGGCGAAATGCAGAAGCTGGAGCATGAACTCTGGAACCTAAAGATGAAGGGTTCCGATATCGCCGCTTACACCTCTAGGTTTGATGACCTAGCGCTTCTCTATCCGGGGATAGTTACCCCGGAAAGCAAAAGGATTGAGACATTCATCTGGGGGCTCACCCAGCCAACCAAAGGAAATGTTTTAGCTACGAAGCCAAACACATTCGACAGCGCTAAATGCTTGGCGCAAACTCTGATTGATCATGGTAACGATCTCGAGGAAGTGGCCACTGCTCCTGAACTGGCTAAAGGGAGCGGTGAAAAAAAAAAGAAATTATGGAACAAACGGAAGGGTCACGGTTCGCAAGGATCCTTGAAGAAACAGCAAACTGTGGCAGTTCACGCTGCTACAACTCCTGTCGCCGCTCCTACAGCTCAAGCTCCTACCAGTGGATACACTGGTACCCTCCCTAGTGCGACAAGTGCAATTACCACCATCGTACTCGCGGGCCTTGTCATGAAAAGCTCTGCCACAACTGTGGCAAGAAGGGCCACATTGCTCGAAACTGCAGAAACCCAGCCCAACCAATCAATCAAGCTTCTGGAGTAGGTGTAGGTCAGGCCTGCTATGGTTGCGGTGAAGTCGGGCATTTCAAGAGAAATTTCCCCAAGGCAGCAACAACTGGCAACACCGGGAGAGTTCTAACTATGGGACGAGATGAGGCAGTAGCCGATCCCACCGTTGTCTCGGGTACGTTCCTTCTTGACAACTCTTATGCTTGTATCCTTTTCGATTCTGGTGCTGAAAGATGTTTTGTTAGCCATTCATTCAAACATCTCCTTAAACATAGTCCTCAACCATTAACCGAAACATTCACTACTAGAAAAAATGCCTTTTACGACGCTCATTGCGCGTCGTAAAACGCTCAGACGACGCGCAAATGCGCGTCAAGGAAGGCCCTGTCATAAAGAGAGACGACGCGCATTTATGACGCGCATTTATGACACACAATGCGTATCAAGGAAGGCCCTGTCATAAAGGGAGACGACACGTATTTGCGTGTCGTAACCTTACGACGTGCGTGTTTATGACACGCAATGCGTATCAAGGAAGCCCCTGTCAAGAAAGGCCATGTCATAAATGAAGACGCCACACATATTTGCGTATCGTAATTTTAATTAATTTTTTAAAAAAAAGTATTTATAGATTTACTGGTTTTCAAATTAAATTTGCATTTCATGTCTCATAATAGAAAATAAAATACATACAAAAAATACAATACGTTGCACAAAAGTTAATGTCATACAAATATAATCATTCCAATAGTAGACAAATGTAACATTTCAACATTTTTTATATAATTAACTAAATTATTTGCCCAATTTCCTAAAATACCAACATACTTTCTATAAAGAGCATTAACACTATTCTTTTCCATCAAAAACTTCAAAACCTGCATAATTAAATTAATGTGTAATCAACTACACGTCAATAAGGTAGGTTTAAGCAAAAGAGTTTCATAATAGTACTAAGATTTTACTTTGAGTTTATTACAACTTTCAGCTCTTAATTGCTCAAGACTTGTCTCATACAGATAAATTTTAGGATTAAGAGGTCTTACTTCAAGGCCAAGGTTGCCAACATAAACGGTTGTGTACTGTGAATTATTCTCAGGGGTATCACTATCACTTTGCTCTTTAGTATCCTCTGCAAAGCAAAACAAAAAATATATATCAAAAAATGAAATTTTTTATAGTTTTATTTTATAATTATTCCTAGAGTATTGCATACCTGAAGATCCATTTGTTAGCTCTATAACACTTTTTGAATTTGAACCTTGTCTTTGATCACTAACACCAGCACCTTTTGTAGCCCAATTACATCGTATCTGCCTACTCCCAAGCCACTTCCCTGATATATATATATATATATATATATATATATATATATATATATATATATATATATATAAAATCATAAAATCAAGTTAAATAAAAAGACAATGCTAAAAATAGTAATTGAACATTCTGGAAGAGATACATAACAAATCCCTTTAATGAAGCCAAAAAAAAAAAGTACATATATGTGTATATGAATGTAGATATATGTATAATTATATGTATGTATGTATAGAGAGATGAAACATGTACTCACGAACAGTTAGAATAGACTGAGAAGCATGTCTACAACACTTGTTGTGTGAACAACTCCACAAGGCTCACAATTTGTCTTGGTTGAAATCCCTTCATTCTCTCTCATCCTGAAAAAACATATAACAAAACTGGATATTTAAATAATTTTCTTCAAAAAAAACATATAACATTTCATTAACTTACTGTCTCTTGGATTCTAATAAAATGTCATTATTACCCTCACTTCGTGAAACTGCCAATTCTTTGGAATTATCAGTTAGTGGAACCAGTTGAAGCTGAGTGGTCTCGGGTTCATGAGATGTTGCAGGATGCAGAGATGAATGATCTTCACATAACATATTATTATGACAAAAGCTCACTGTAAAACCCGATATCATATTAAGTTTCTAAGTGACAGATAACATATCCATGACTGATGTTTAAAAAAAACATGTACCACACAAAAGTATAAATTATACCGAGTTTTTATTTGTAGTTGAATGCAGCTTTTGTTCATAATCCCCCTCGTCCTTATATTCTTCCTTTGTTCCCTTCCGACCGAATTGTTCAGCTGCATCACATACTAATAAAAACAACAATAAAATCAGTATAAAATGTGAGGGAGCAAAAACAACATTCAAGTCAGAAAATAAGTTTGAGGGGATGCTTCACATACTCCAAGTTTTTGGGATGAGCACCTGAGTTGCAACAACCATGCAACCAACAACCGCCATTAACCCAAAATTAAGCTGTAAATTTGAAACAAAGATAATCAACACAAATGGTGGAAAAAGATGGAAAGAAACTACAAAAAAGAATGAATGCAGGGGCTACCTTTTTTTGTATCATCAGTCATGGATATATTCATAGATAATAAATTAATTAACAATAGATGAATATAATAAATGATAAAAAGTGTGGCTAGATTAATCTTAAAAAGGAGTGTTTGTGATCTGAGCTTGAAAGTGCAAGTGAAAGACCCTTGAAAAAGGGGTGAGGATTCTGTTAGATTCCCATGAGAAAGTTGTGGTGTAAAATATAATCCTAAATCTTATTACTTTCTAATGTTCTTTCTGTTTAGGTGTTTTTGTTTCAAAAGGCAGCTGTTTACAAGTGTAACATGGCTGGAAAGCCTGCAGTGATTACCCGTGTTGTGGACAGCATGACCAACAACTTAAGGCCCACTCGAGTCATTGGATAAATCAAAATGGTCTCTACAAGAAACACTCCCCGTTGCAATTATAAAACAGAACTGAAAAATAAAGATGAGAGACACGAAAGATAAGATCACTTGGAAAAAATGTCTCATTCTAGTTCAAACAGCATGATAAAAAGAGATTTCTTATACCATTCAAAGTTTGATTTTGTAAGCAGTTGCTTCACCAAAAAAGTTTATAGCATCGAACAGTTCATCTACCACTCTTGGTAATAGTCCCTTGTTAAGGTTGTCAGCTTCCAAAATGTTGGCTCCCCATTAAAAAAGTCAAATATGGACTTCATTTAAAACAAGTGTTATTGAACATTGTATTTTACTGAAATGCACATCACCTCCATAGTAAAAGTCTTCCCTGCTCCTGTCTGTTAAAGTGCATAAGAGAATTCATTAATATCATATTAAAGGTGAGGGATCTCTTTCAAACTTATTTGAACAATAGAGATAGCTAATGATAAAGCATATAACTAGAAAAAAGGCTTCATTGCAGTTCTTATTTAGCTTCTTTAACAGTGATACAATCACAGAACAAATTATTGGAGCTGATTGAAAAGGTAATAGAAATAACCAGATTTGCACATTTGTTACCACTTATGTTAATAAAATCATCAGTAAAACTTCAATGTTTGCAAAGAATAGAAAAACAACAAATCGGTGGGGAATGGGGGTCGTAAAAAGAGAAGCTTCTGATGGATCACAATGAAGTTGAAAAGCCCTAACATTCATAGTTGGGTGATATTACATTTATCTCACTAATAATTTTTTACCACTGTGTTAACTTTTGTTTTGAGAGAATCGTGAAACAAATTAAACCCTAAATAAATGCAAGCCTACATGGGTTTACAGAAAGGATTAAAATACCTGTAAAAAAAGTACAGAGCATAAGAACGCTTGCTCTCCAACGCCATCGTCTTCTTCCGTTGTCGCATAATGTTATTAGGATTTCATCTACAATTTATTCTTAAACAACTTCTACTTCCTTAAATTTATTCACATCGAAGTTGTCAGGTGAGGGCTATGCGGCAAGAAGAGGCAGTGAGGGTTGGAGAGGGTGGAGATGGGTGAGGGGTGAAGATGAACGAGGGGATATGTGAGAGAACTGAGGGAAAAGAAGTAGAAGAGAAGCTCGTGAGTAGGTTTAGTAGGTGGAGTAATATAGAGGAGAAGCGGACTCGGGACACAGTGGCCGGTGCTGATGAGTTTCAATGGTCGGCGATTAGAGGTGAGCCTTCGGTCGCCAACGAGGTGAGGTGAGACAGAGCAAGGTAAGGAGAGGCTAATCAGGTTGTCAATTACAAAGTGCTCGTGTGGAAGGGGTGGTGGGTAGAATCCTACATATGAAGGCGCAAAAGAAGGTCGATGGAAGAGGAAGGCGCTGAAAAAGATGCGACGTTGGCGGAGGGTCGAAGATGGAAGAGGGTCGATGACCAGGAAAGAGCACGAAGTGGTGGTCGGAGTGTGAGGGGAGTAGTTAGCGTTCGATGTGGGGGAGGGGAAAGAAGTATCTCCGATTATGTTTTAGGGTAAAGAGGGAGGTGAAAGCGGGCTTTTCTAATTTTTGGGTTTTTCCTTTTCCCGCTTGTTACTAAAGAGCGCGTTTCATTAAAAATTATAAAGCGACATGTTTAGATGTCACACATTTTATAATGAGTGCCCTCCGTGTTTTTTTTTCTAACACTAATTTTAAGGCACGCCAAAATTGGGCGTCCTAAATCCTTAAAATTTCTAGAGAGCTGACATTATTTTTAGATCACACGCTTTTGCGTATTGTAAATCACCGAGTGTCATAAATTGCGCGTCATTAAAGGTCTGTTTTCTAGTAGTGATTTACCGTCGAGATGGCTAACGGTGAGAAAGAGAAAGCTAACGACATATTCATAGGTTGTACCCTTACCATGAATGATCATTCCTTTCCCATCGACCTAATGTCAGTTTCAATAAAGAGCTTTGATGTTATCATTGGCATGGATTGGTTGAGTCCCAATCATGCTGATATCCTTTGTTACAAAAAATCCATCCGTCTCAATCTCCCCTCTGGTCAGACTCTCATGATCTACGGCAATAAACTTAGTTCCAATATTCGCATCATTTCATGCATCAAAGCTCAAAAACTTCTGTGAAAGGAGTGTTATGTAATCCTAGCTCATGTAATCAATGAGAAACAGGAAGTTAAAAACCTCGAGAGCATTCCCGAAGTATGCAACTTTCCTGATGTCTTTCCCGAAGAGCTCCTGGGGATTCCTCCCGAATGTCAAGTCGAGTTTTGCATCGACCTAAATCCCGTAGCAAATCCTGTAGCCAACTCTCTGTATCGTTTAGCGCCAGCAGAAATTCAGGAATTATCCAGCCAGCTCAATGAACTACTTGGCAAAGGGTTCATCAGACCGAGTTCCTCACCCTGGGGAGCCCTGGTACTATTTGTGACGAAGAAAGATGGATCCTTTCGGATGTGTATAGACTACCGCGAGTTGAATAATTTGACCATCAAAAACCATTATCCTCTTCCTCGAATAGATGACCTCTTTGATCAGCTTCAGGGAGCCAGTTACTTCTCAAAGATAGACCTTAGATCAGGGTACCATCAGTTACGAGTTCAGGAGAGTGATGTTTCCAAGACAACATTCAGGACTCGATATGCTCACTATGAGTTCATAGTGATGCCTCAGTCTAGCCAACGCACCTACAGTGTTCATGGACCTGATGAACCGAGTGTGTCACCCCTTTCTGGAAAACTTCGTCATCGTGTTCATTGAAAATATACTTGTCTATTCCAGAAACAAAGAAGATCACAAATAACACTTGAGGTTAGTGTTAGAAACACTTAGATTGGAGAAATTGTACGCGAAATTCTCCAAGTGCGAATTCTAGACTCGGAAGGTAACTTTCCTTGGTCACATGGTAAGCGAGGAGGGTATACACGTGGACCCGTCCAAAATCAAGGCGATAGAGAATTGGTCGGCACCGAAGACACCCACAGAAATCCGTTAATTCTTGGGTCTCGTCGGCTATTATCGCAGATTCATCCAGAATTTTTCTAGAATTGCCAAACCCCTGACCACTCTGACACAAAAAGGTGTACCCTTTTGTTGGAATGAAAAGCAAGATAATGCATTCCAAACGTTGAAGCGAGCCTTGTGCAGCGCACCTATCCTATCCCTGCCCGAAGGGACAGAGGATTTCGTTGTCTATTGTGATGCGTCCAACCAGGGTTTAGGTTGTGTACTTATACAGAGAGGAAAGGTTAACGCTTATGCCACGAGATAGTTGAAGGCACACGAAGTTAACTACACGAATCACGACCCGGAGTTAGGAGCAATGGTCTTCGCACTGAAGATTTGGAGACATTATCTCTACGGAGCCAAGTGCAGGATTTTCATCGACCATAAAAGCCTTCAGCACATCTTCAATCAGAAGGAATTAAATATGAGACAACGGTGATGGGTAGAGTTGCTCAGTGATTATGAGTGCGAAATCTGCTACCATCCCGGCAAGGCCAATGTGGTAGCAGATTCCCTTAGCCGAAAGGAAAGCTCAGGCAACAAGGTGAAGACTCTGACAATGACCATCCATTCCCACTTATCCGCAAAGATCCAAGAAGCCTAGTTGGAAGCCCTAAAGCCAGAGAACGTGTCAAAAAAAGTATTGAGGGGAATGGATAAGAATCTTGAGATCAGAAGTGATGGAGTTTATTGTTTCATGGATAGAATCTGGACCCCAAAGTTCGGAGGTTTCAGAGAAGTTGTCATGAACGAAGCTCACAAGACCAGATACTCTGTTCACCCAAGTTCGGATAAGATGTACCTGGATCTCAAGAAAATATACTGGTGGCCAAACATGAAAGCCGAAATCGCTATCTTCGTGGGCAAGTGTCCGACTTGCGCCCATGTAAATGTCGAGTATCAGAAGCACTTGGGTCTGCTCCAGCAGCCCGAGATACCTGAGTGAAAATGGCAGATGATTACTATGGATTTTGTCACCAAGTTACCCAAATCTCCAAGTGGATATGATACCATTTGGGTAATTGTCGACCGATTGACAAAATCCGCTCACTTCCTACCGATTAAAGGATCATTCAAGATGGAAAGACTTACGCGAATCTACATCCAAGAGATAGTCTGACTGCACGGTGTGCCTGTGTCCATTATCTCCAATCGAGATAGCAGGTTTACCTCAAGGTTTTGGCAGTCCCTTCAGAAAGCTCTTGGAACTATGCTGGATATGAGTAGAGCTTATCATCCTCAGACAGACGAGCAGAGTGAGAGAACTATCCAGACCCTGGAAGACATGTTGAGAGCATGTGTCATCGATTTCGGAAAGTCATGGGACACCCATTTACCCTTGATCGAGTTCTAGTATAACAATAGCTACCACACGAGTATCAAGGCTGCCCCGTTCGAAGCCCTCTACAGTTGGAAGTGCAGATCCTCTCTATCTTGGGCCGAGGTAGGGGACACGCAGCTAGCCAAGAGTCGAGTCCCCGATAGTGCTCTCACTGGTCTTGAAATCATCCGCAAAACCACTGAAAAGATCATCCAGATCCGGGAACGACTGAAAGCTTCGCGAGACAAACAAAAGAGTTACGATGATAAACGACGGAAACCCTTGGAATTCTAGGTTGGAGATCGTGTCCTATTGAAGGTCTCTCCCTGGAAAGGCATGATACGGTTTGGAAAGCGCGGAAAACTTAACCCGAGGTACATAGGACCTTTCGAGATCCTTGCTAGGATCGGTCCCGTAGCCTATAAACTCCGATTACCTCAAGAACTTGGCAACATCCACCCTGTATTCCACGTTTCAAATCTTAAGAAGTGCATATCCGATGAAACCCTCGTGATCCCTCATAATGACATCGAGATCAATGAAAACCTGAACTTTGTGGAAGAACCAATCGAAATCGTGGAACGAGAAACCAAACGTACGAAACAAAGCCGCATCCCAATAGTGAAGGTTCGCTGGAACGCCAAGCACGGACCCGAATTCACTTGGGAGCGCGAAGACTCGATGAAGCAGAAATATCAGCATCTCGTTCCAAATCCATGATTTGTATCTTAATTCTAAATTTCGGGATGAAATTCCCTCTAACAGGGGATGATGTGACAACCTGAAATTATTCCGTCACTGTAACCCGTTTCCGTCAATGAAACCCATCTTTATCAAATTGTTCCGTTAACATTTTGGATTAGTTTATTTAAATTGAAAGTTTTATTATGACTTCATGAGTGTCCAAATGACTTAGAAACGCCCTCAAATTCTTTTAGAATGATTTCTAGGTTACGACCCCGTCGGGTTACGAACATTTAATCAGGTACGACCATAAACCCCGTTTAACATCGGGATCGGGTAGATTTCCACCGGGCCGCAAACTCAAACCCTATATAAGGGTGAGTGGACCTCCATTTGAAGCTTTTACACCCTCTTAACACACACACACTCTCTCTACTCTCTCTCTCTCTCTCTACAACTCAAATTTTGATCCAAAAACACATCTTTGTAGCTCCAAACTTGTAAGTAATCTATCCTAGCTTGTTGTTTAGCTTATTTTGCATGAAAATCCGTGTTTAAATCATCCAAAAGTATCAAAATCATGTGTTTACGGCCATAGAACAACCCCAAACCGAAAACACCCATAAGTGGGGTTTTGAAGCCCAAAACCCTTCCAAATCACTTCTAGTGCTTAGCTATGGCTTAGGGACTTGCATATATGAGCTTAGAACACCAAAATCTTGTCATTTGGGGAGTAAACATGAATTTACATCCCAAGAACATTCTTGGACCGCAAACACTCATTCATAGAGTGTAAACACCTTTTAAGGTGTTAAATTTCCCCTTAAACACCTCCTATGGCTTGGGTTAATGTCTAGAATCAACCACCATCGAAGTAGGGACCTTAAACATTAAATAAACCAAGAACATAGGATATTGCAATAGTAAACCCCCCAAGGATTGGTCCCTTGGCCGTAAACTCCCTTAAGGAGGTCAAATGGTGCCCTAACTTCCCCTTATGGTTCGGATTAATGCATAGAACCTTGTATTCTTTCATTTGAGACCCTAAATCATGCAAGAAAGGTCCAAGTAAGAGTTTACAGCCATAAACTCTATGTTTACAGCTGTGAACTCCTCAAAGTAGTCAAATTGAATCCTTAGTCACTTCCTATGCCCTAGAATTGAACCTAGCCTAATTCCACAAGTGTTATATAACCTTTGAGCAACCAAGAACACTCCACCCATGAGTTTACAGTCGTAAACTCATGGGGATATGGTCTATGGGCCGAAATCTCCTCTAAGAGTTTACTCTTGAGGAGTAAACTCCCTATATAGGCCATACACCCCCTTAGATGCAACCCGTATCATTCCTAACACTTGAGATAAAGTGTTTTCGCGCCTCACAAAGTATTATCTTACTTAATTAGTGGTTCAATGTCTAATTTGATACCATTATGTATCTCCTCATGTTACATAGGATCCTCGCGTGCGTTAAAGCCTAAAGTGTCACTTAGCATCCTGCCCGGCACATTTCTCGACTAGTG